CTGCCCCGGCGGGGGGCGCTGCAGCCCAGGCCAGTCCTGCGAAGCGCCTGGAAGCCCGTGGCTTCCCTTTGGTTCCCGCCCTGGGACGGGAGGCTCCGTCCGCTCCCGGGGCAGCCGGGGCTGTCCCTCCGTCTCCCTCCCGCGCTCTTCTCCCCTCGCGTTTGCAGAGAGGTGCTCTCCTCGGCCGGCGGGGAAGGCGGGTGAGTGAGCAGAAAACTGCCCGGGGGGCACGGGCCGTGGGGGTGCAGACGGAGGGTGAAAGGCCAGTGAGGTGCGGGGTACTGGTGGGGGATGACAGCGACCTGCTGGCAAGTCGCGCCGCCCCCACCCCCTCGCAGGGAGGAAGCGTAGCTCCCTCGGGACCTGGAAGAGAGTAGTGAGAAGGCCTGGGGCTCTCCAGCCAATGAAGAGGACTTCTCTCAGGGCCATTGCCCCGGGGTTCTGGGATGGGAGGGGGCCCAGGGGGCGGCCCAGGTCCCCTTTGGGTTCTCCGGGCTCCCCAGGCTAGGTTACATAAGGAGGCAAGCCGGTTCCTGTAGGTAACCTGCCCCTCCTCTCCTGACCAGCCCAGTTTAGAAGGCTCTCTTACTATGCTCCTCCCCTCAAAGGAGGCTGAGTGATTGGGCCTAAGGCCTGGACCCCAGACCCTGGGAGGGGCCAGGAAGATGGGGAGGCCTTGGCTTTTCTGCAGTGATGGATGGGCCATACATGCGGCTGGGAATGGAGAGGCTGGTGGAAGGGAAATTAACTGACCCTTTGGGTCAGCTCCACTTGCAAGGTTGCCTGACCCTGGCCCAGTGTGCCACCCTCCCCACTGGCTTGGGGGCTTCAGGCTGCGTCCTGACTACATGTGCTCATTGCAGATGAGCCCAGGCCTGTCTCTCAAAAAGGGGCTTGCAGACTGTGGGTGTGTGTAGCCAGGTTTAAATCTTGGTGAACTCTCCTAGGGTCTTAGTTTGAGGAGCATCAGAAACTGAAGCTTTGAACCATGATGGGGTGCCTGCTTGTCCTGTAAGGCCTTGTTATGTATTATGTTCAGATATCATCTCCCCCCCGACCTCCATCCCTGAAGGTTTTTAAAAACACCTCCCATTGCTTTCATCTTTCCAGCAAATCTGGCTGCAGCTTGGATGGCTGCCTGATCTTCCTTTGCAGGTTTCTAGGGGAGAGTTTAACCAGGTATCAGGTGTGAGCATGGCTCAGATTAACCTGAGGACCAGGGGAGAGAAGCAAGGTCTATTCTCGTGCCTCTGGCTGGTTAAGGTTTTGCCTTGTTTAAAACAGGGAGGAGGGATTTCTCAAAGACTCTTCTGTTCCCCTTCTACTTTGGCTTTGGTTCAGAGCAGCAGGCAGCTCCAGAATCTTCCTGAAGAGCAGGGTGCTGTGAGATTTGAAAGGCTGCTGGAAGGCATGGGTGTGGAGGCCTCTGACTTTTCTCCTAGGTTGTTTGCAGCCACCTCTAAGGAGATGTGTTGATAAGTGGTAATGGTGTCCCCTAGGGAAGGATTTGGACCGGGATCTCCTCACCCACTCACTGCCTAGCTTTTGCAGCCATCAGCCTGTCTTCCCCACCTGTTTGCAGGCTGTGTGGGCATCTTTTCCAACCTGCAGAACCCTTGGCAGGATGAGAAGGGCTAGGCTCTCCAGGCCTTGTTTGTCGTGGGGCTGCTGGTGTTGCAATGGGCTGTCTCTCTCACCAGTGTTTCTGTTTTCAGCTCTGCTCTGGAAGAGAGGGGCCAGTGCAGACTCTAGGTTGGCCTGCTCTGTATTCATTCAGCCCCAGCTCAACTTGAGCAATCAGAGCCAGGGCTGAGGGCAAGCAGCATTCTTTTCTGCTTTTCTGCTGCAGGATGCAGTTTGCTTTTTTCCATGCGAATGAATTATGTTTGAAACTGAAATGAGAGGAAGAGAAGAATAGAGGGAGTGTGTATGAATATGTGTGTGTGCATACCTATATAGGCAGGGGGAGAGCAGCAGACACATTATTTTTCCATTTTCCTTTAATTAAGGCTCTGTGGAGGTGTGTTTGAAAACAGAGGGTCTCCTATGCCTTTGAGGAGGGTGAGAACACTGTTTTGGCTGCGTCCCGGGCCATATGCAGCGTATGGTGGCCAATGAAACTGGGCCTGGCTCTTTCTGTTGCTTGTCTTGGCAGTCGGTTCCATGGCTTGTGTTACCAGCTCTGGAACTTACGGGCTGCCAAGCTCCGTGTGCCTGTGTGTGTATGTGTGTGTGCACTCTTGTGCGTGTGTGTGGTTTGGCCTCTCGAAGCTCAGCAGAGACAAATGCCTTAGCGACCCAGGGCTGGAATTTCAGCCTGTGTTTCTTTACACTCCTTGCTGGCTGTGGGAGGCCCGGCCAGAGCCCACCGTTCTAGGGATTTTTTTAAGTCTGTTTTCTTACTGCAGCTCATGGGATTCCAGTTGTGGAGCTTCATTTCCAAAGTTTTAGCAGGCCAATGGCATTTTTTAAAAAGGGTCAAAGGATTTATCACACACTCTGTGTGTGTGACTGTGTAATGTATCATGCTGTGTCCTCCTGACGCCAAGGAACAGAGATGGGGTGAAGAGGGAAGAGGGCAGGGTTGTTGGGTGGCAGTTCTTTCCCAGCTTCATCTTGCTTCTAAATTAAGGATTCCTGGCAGAGGTGACTTACTGTGTATTTATTGAGCACCTACATCAGGCAGGAGAGACGGTGCCTACAGACAGAGCCTTGTTGAAAGGATTTCTCTGGTCTCCTGGGAAGAACCTTTCTTGGGGAGAGGTTCCAGTTTCTTCTATGGCCGGGATGCCTACGCAGGGATCATGCATGCCAATGTGCCGTAGCAGTGGCTTCTCTGGACCGCTGCCACCCCTCTTTTTCTTCTTATGAAGATCTGAGGATTGACCTCTCCTAAGCAGTGCAAGGAGAGAGTAGGTAGAAGGACACAAGAGATGCTAGCCCTCTGCTTCTGAAGGCAGGGGTGGCAACCCAGACAGTTGGTGGTGCCAGTGATCTATGCAGCTGTGTTCTGGAACGTAGGATGGAGGAGACCTTAGGAGAAACGGGAGCAAAGGGCAAGTGCTGGGTCTCGTTTCCACACCTTTGTATACAGCCCAGACCTGGCCCCTTTGTTTCTATTCTGCAGTAACTGACTGGATACAGGATGGTCCTGTCCCCTTAGAGTTTAGAACTGGAAAATGGGTGAGCAGAGAATCCTCTGGGGCAATCTTCTTCATGGGTGTACGAAAAGGAGATCAGTGTTAGGTGGGAACCGTACAGAAGTGACCTTGAGGGGTCATCCAGCGGTAGTGTCCTCCAGGAAGGAAGGTCCTTGTGGCTACACTGACTTCATACTCACTGGGGCAGGCGCTGTTCCAGGTACTTTCCAAGTTTTCTCTAACTTAATCCTCTCTGCAGCCGTACAGGGCAAATAACATCATTATTCCCACTTTACAGCTGAAGAAAGTGAGGCCCAGAGAGGGTAGGGAACCTGCCCAAGGTCACACAGCTCGTAAGAGGCAGCAGAGCTAGTTTTCACATTCAGACGACCTGGCTCCAAAGCTCCCACCCATACCCCGCCTCACTCTCCTACCTGTGGAGCTGGCACAGCCACCTGGAGAGGGGCTTTTGTGCTTGTCCCTGTTCTCAATCATGGCGCTTTCTCCACCCTTTTCCTCCTTGCCTTCTGGATCTCCTTGTCTTTTTGCAGCTACGTAATTTCAGATTCCAGGAGAGAGATCATCCCAGATAATTTCTTATCTCCAAGAACAGGTTTGCTGTTTAATTCTCCAAGATTCATGAGAGTCACTACTGGCCTGGCACCTTTCTGTACTTCCTCCCCTCCCCTAACGCACGCACCTCCTCCTCCTGGGAAGCTTCCCAGGCTCGGGCTCCCAAGACCTCCCACCTGCTGTTGGTGATGCCCAGGTGTCAGCTACCTGCTCTTGACTTCCAACTGCACTAGTGCTCCTGGGGCCCGATCCTGTGAACTAACTCCCTTGCTACTGGGCCTGTCCTCGCTCACCTCCACTATTTCGAACCTTGCAGCCTTAGGCCACCTGCACTCGCTTGCGTGCCCATTCCTGGCTCCCGATGCCAGCCTAGGCCAGCTGTTTGCCTGGAGGGGAGCTAACCTTCTCAAAGAGGCCCAGGGATTTTAAAGTCTCCCTTAAACTTTTGTTTCTATGGACAGAAAGTTCATTGATGCAGATCCTAACTTTCTCTGAACCTGTCGTTTTTGGTTTTTTTTTTAATTTGTCTTCGCCATTCTAGATGAAGATGCCAGTTGTTGGGCACTTTCTAATAAAAATACCCCTTTACAAGTTTGACCCATCTAAGCAAGACTGTTATTTGTAGATACTCCAGATACACAGAATTATGATATCTTACAGATTTACATACAGTGAAACAAGAAAAGAAAATAAGAGGGTAAGACTCAAGTAGTTACCTGTACCTTTTTTTTTTCTTTCCGCTAAAATGATGTTTCATGTTAATATCTCCCAATAGGGTCCATTTTCTGGACTTGAAATATTTTCTGGCTTTTCTTTTGCTTGTACAAGGCAACACCCCAATCTGTGTGCCTGCAAGTCCCTGAGCAAGTCAGAATAGAGAGATACTGATATTGGACCTTTAGGCTCTTTCCTCATGGACCCACCTGGCCCCTGTTTCTCTCAAGCTGGCTTTTAAGGACCTGCATTGAATCACTTAAAATCTTGGGCTCAACAGCAGCGTAGGATCCACTGTGACCTCCTGCAGGTTTTCTGTCTTACTCATGCCTTGCTTGTCAGTCCCATCATGATCGGTGTATTCCCCGGTTTTTCTTCATTGGCTAGTTTCCAGGATATTCCTGGTCAGTGTCCCAAATTGCCAAAGTCTTTTTGGATTCTAGGCCTGTCTTTTGAGGCACAAGCTTCATTTGCCAATTTGGGTTTTCTGCCAGTGTATAGCGCCTGCTCTTTATTTATGCATCCCAGTTGCTAATGGAGATGTGGAGGGCGTTTATCTTCCTTTCCGACCTCCTGGCCCCTGAAGGGGAAGAAACTCTGGGTTCTTCCCCTAAAGCTTTTAGTGCCTCACTCTCCTTTTCCAACTAAATTGTTTCCGTATGGAACAAGCAGTTTGGGAGATGATTTCACCTCTTGTCATCTTTCCTGTGTCTTCCTTGAAGTGGGTAAATTCCTCCTGGCTGTTGTTGGTTCCCTGCCACTGCCCCCTCCCCTTTTTATAGATCTCTAAATTACATCAAATTGTTTTATTTTTCATATCACCAAAGTTGCCTTTCAGCCTTGGATTGTCAGCTAGCTCTTCCCAGTTAATGAGGATCCAATTATGAAAGGCAGCCGATTTACCTCCTCTATCGCCTGCCCCCGCCCCTAGAGCTCATCAGGATGACTTCTCGCTGGTGAATGTCAGCTGTTGTGGTTGTCTCCTAGGAATGGCATGTGTTAAGGACTTTGTGGTTTGTATCTGAGCAGTTAGGGGCGCCCTTGTGGGGGAAGGAAAGAAAGGGGGGATTTTTTTTGCTTCTGCAAAGGAAAGTCTGGAGCCTGATCCCCTTAGTGAGGCTTGTCATTGGGTTGGGTTCACAGGGAAGCAGGAATGGCAAGAATTTATGAGGCTGCTGCTCCCAGAGGGTGGTTACCCCTCTTGAGGGGGGGG